AACATGACAGAACTTGCTCTTCAGTTTCTGTCAAAATCACCTGATGTCCTATAAAATATATTTTTATGTGTTAAATCGTTTGATTAATTCATTAGAAAAATCTTTGTAGAAGAAAAATAATAGTTTACCAGCACGTTTCACGCGCTTCTTGTGAATTTTATTACAGATAGTATTTCTGTGGATTTTGTACTTTCGAGAAGCTTCTGCAATCGACATACCACCAGCAACTGCTTGTAAACATTATTGCAGCTTTTCTAAAGTGTAATCACGGCAGTTTCTCGTTCCAAGTATTTTTTTTATAACGTCTGACAATTTTTCTGTCGAAAAAAAAACGAACGAACCGTTGCACAAAGTAACAGTGCATTTTTTTTTCATTCTCCGTTTATTGTTATTAATTTTGAAATTTTTTTTAGCGCTAACATGATATAATTGTTTATTAATATATAAATAAAAAATTTGCACTTATGACAATTATTTTATCAACGTCCTTGCAACTCACAGCTAAAGTTTCCACGCACACTTTACGACGTCCAACGTTCTCGGAAAATTGTTGACATTGGATAAACAAAACACACTCTGAGATTGTTTTAAAATTCGAAACTTTTTTTGTAGTAATAGAGGAGACTTCTATCTTCAAATTCCACAAATTTTTAACGTGAAAAAAAAAACATAATACTGAATAGCAGCACTTGAAAAGTGCCAAATTCAAATTTGCACAGAGTAGCCCCACATGACGGTACCCAAAATATTTGCATATTTACTCTGGATAATACTCTATTTCAATGTCTTAACTAGTTTTGCTGAAGACAGGACACTAAAAAATCGAAGAAAACATTTAAACTATTGAAACATATGAGAGCATGAAACATTGTGGTTCGGAAATTGCTTTCTCTAAGAAAAACCTAAACGCTTAAAAATAAAGTTAAAAATTGTTACAAATTTTAAATACTTGTGACGGTAGTAACTGGAAAGTTTTCTGTCTGAGAAAGGAAGTTGTTTACTTATTCTGGAAAAAAAAGAAGAAGAAAATTATGAGTCCATCATTTTAGTGAACGATGGGGTTTTCAAAACTGGATTTCTCCTAGGGGATGGAATGTCGAGTCAAATTCCTTTTTGAAGAAGATTTTTTCAAGATTCTTAACAACATTAATAATACTTACCGTATAGTACATATTTATATAAATACTCTATTTTTCATTATTTCTTCAATAAAATAAATCTTCTAAAATTTCCTAAAATGAATATAGCAAATTAACAAGCGTCTAATAGATAGAATAAATAAATAAGTATGATAAATCTTTTTTATAACAATTCTCAAATTATTTCATTTAGATTATTTTTAACTCGGAATTGGTAACATTCCCAAAAAGTTTCCCCTAGAGGCGATTTTCTTTTAAAATAATCTGAATTCTGAACATAAATTCTTGCGAAAATTTCAAAAAAAAAATTATGCTATTTGTTAATTACGTAAAAAGTCTAAAAACATTTATCTAATTTTGAAAATAATAAGTTTTTTTGCTATTATTATTTTTGTGAATTCGTAATAAAAATACGGAAAAAAATTCACGACATTCATATAAACTCGTAGCCTTATATTTAAGTATGAAGTAATGCTCGATGATGAATGCTAATGATGAATGTAATCGAGAGTTTTTTACAGTGCAAGCTACGCACTTAACAGCATTTGATTAAATTGCTAATAAAACTTCAGAGAGTAAAATGTGAAAGACAATGCTTGAAATCTAAAATTGGTAATAATTAACTACGTATGAAGGATTTTATTTGTATTTAGGATGATGCAACCAGTAAGGACTTACAGGTTTTGGATGTATATGTTTTAAATATGTTTTAAAGTATGTTTTAAAGTTTCTTTTTATTAGAACGTCAATTACTAAAATGTGAATATTTAACAGAATTTTTTTTTCAAATGCAATTGATAAAATTTTACTTTGTGAAATTATATGACAAAATAAAATTTTCAACTAATATAAGTTTTTTGCAACTTTTTCCTAAAATTTAAGTCTTTGAAAAACCGAAATCTTTTGAAACAATTCAATGAAAAGATATTTATTGTCAAATTCCTTGAACATTAAATAAGTCGACAGGTGTTTTAGAAATCTCAACATTATTTCAAACATCACTCAGTTTTCATACGTCAGCTATTTCTAAAAAATATTATGATATTTGAATTCGACATTCTAAAAGACATCTGATATTTTGGCATCTACACATGGACATGCGTATGTGGACAAGTGGCGGTAACATTAAACATAAATTCTTTAAAGACAATGCAAAATACCTTTCTGAAAAGAATTTTAAGAAAGATATCTTATGTAAGTGATTGGTGGTTCTAAAAATGTTCGACAATCTGTTTTTGAATTTGAATAGACATATTGTCATAGTCTTCCATCAACAGGTGTTGAAGAGCTATATAATAAAATAAATTCCCACTGACTTCACTTATCTGATACACTCCAAAGTATCAACAGTTTTCCAAATTTTACATATAAGTATCCAAATCAAGTTAGCCAAGTCTTTCAAAATGCTTAAAAGTAATTTTACGATGGTCTCTTACCTTATGAAAAGAGAAACTGAAGAAGATGACGAGTACGAAAAAGCCATGGCAGAGATAGACGAAAAGAAAAGTCTTTGTAAAAAACTTGAATACGGCTCGAAGGTAGCAGGTACGGTAGGTGATCTTTTAGGGGATATCCCTGATCCATCTAAGACTGCCGCTGGTTTCGCTATGGCAGCTCATCTTGTCCAGGCCGGATTTGAAATTACGTCAACAACTCTGGAATGCGACGACGTCAATTTCGATGAAATTAAACTGATCATGAATAAATGATTTAGTGACATCGAAAGGAAACTGGATGTGCAGTCAGAGGCATTAGAAGAGGTTTCTCGCAAGGTAGGTGAGATGCTTATTAAAATTGATAACCTTCAGACGCAAATGTATCGCGGATTTCGTATTGTAATTGATACCATAGAAAATACAAAAACGCAAGAGATTATAACTAAAATAAAAACTTCTGTTAAATATTTCGAAGAAACTAGAGAACTTCTGAACCGTTATCGTAAAAAGGAATATATCGAGGAATTAAGCAGTAAGAACAGCGTTTTGCGCAAATTAGAAGAGTACTCGGACCCAGTAAATAGCTTATATTCTGCTTTAAATGAGCTCATACATAATGAAAATAACTATGCGATTCCGAAAAATGAGGCAGATGATAAAGCTTTTCAAGCATTGTTTGCTTTGTTTTATGGTACTCAGACATATTTTTTGGTAAAAGTTTTTCTCATGAAGCAATATGCTTATATTGCAAACTACAATTACGAAATAGGAAATTTCGATACATTTAATACGCAATATGTAAACATTAAGTCTTTGAGTACTAAATTTAAAAATTCTCTTTTCGCTGATGTAACCAATATAATAAAACAGGTTAAAAATAAAAATCTCCTGAGCAAAGTACAAAATGAATGGTACAAGGATATTTCTGAAGACGTTTTACTCGATCTGAAAAATGATATTGAAGCGATTGACCTAAATATGATTGATGTAAATGGAATAGTTGAAGTAAAAGACGTAGATTTTGCAGCACCCGAAATCACCTCACAGTACGGTGACTGGAAAGATAAAAGACAAGTTAGCTACGCTGTGCAGTTAAGAGATGAAAATAAGTATTCCACATTTAGTAGTTGGTCAAAACCAGAAGAAATTGGAAACAAAGCTAATCCCACAATTACAGTTCCCCAGGACAACAATGGCAGAGAGAGGTTAATATTCCGAAAAATCGATAACGGTTCCACTCAATTTGTTGGCGTTGTAAAGAAAACAGAAACAAAATTTAGAGACATTGACAGGGATCTCTATAATGCTGCTGGAAGAGGAGATCAAGACTTAGCTTATAGCGAAATGCAATTACTCCTTGACAAAGGTGCTGATATAGATGCAGTGTTTGATCAAGGACAAACTCTGATACACGCTGCTGCAATGAAAGGCAACGACAGGGTTGCAAAGGATTTTCTTTTCGGGAAGATTGACATAAATTCTAAAGACAAAAAAGGATATACTCCCATGCATATAGCAGCTGAATCGAATCAGAAAGAATTCGTACAAGAGTTAATCAAACTGGGTGCTGATGTAAACGCACAAACAGAAACGAATCAGCTTACACCGTTACACATTGCTGCGATGAATGGATATTTGGAAACGGTATCAGAATTAATAAAAAGCCCTGTAATATCAGTAAATGCGGCAGATAAATTTGGATTTACAGCTTTGCATCATGCAACCCACAAGAGAGGCAATGCTAAAATCGTGAAAGCATTGCTTACTAATGATGGCACAAGCATCAGCGCTAAAACTAAATTAGATTTGACGCCTTTACATTTAGTTTCTATTAACGGATTTCCTAAGGTATTAGAAGCTTTGGTTGAAAATAGCAAATTATTAGATATCAATGAAGCAAATAATGATGGTATGACAGCGCTCCATTTTGCAGCAATGTATGGAAAATCCGTCATAGTCAGGAAACTACTTATAGTTGCAAATATCGGAATCAATAACTTGACCGTCAAAAATCAATGGACTCCTCTTCATTTTGCAATCTATTTCAAGAAAGGAAATGTAGCTTCCCAATTACTGAGTGACGAAAGAACCCAATTCAATTTAGCTGGAGGAAACGGCGTCACTCCTTTGCACCTTGCGATTGCTGCTGGACAATTGCAAACAGCAGAGAATTTGATAAAAAAAGGTGCAGATAAAGAAGCAAAAATAACTAATGATGGTTCTACTGCTGTGCATTTAGCTATGAAGCGACGCAAACCAGACGCATTAGAATTATTAATCCATAAGGAGGCAAATTTAAACGCTCAAACGGAAGATGGCACCACAGCTCTGCATTTGGCCTGCAAATATCATAAGTTGGATTTTCTCAACTTGTTGCTTGACGCGGATGTTGATACGAAAATTGCCGATAAAAATGGTATTCTAGCTATACAAACTGCAATTGATAACATGGATTTGAGATTCGTGAGAGCGATTGTTGAAAAAAACCCGAGTATAGTCAGTGATCAGTTGGGATCTATGTCCGTCAAAGAAGGAATTTATGTTCGCGCATTGGCACATGAAAAAGTTTTTCGACTTATGTATCAGTACCTTAAAAACAAGGATTCCAAGGAAAATCAAAGAAAATATTATGGTTTAGAACCTCTTGAAGTGTTTAAACAGTTAGGTATCAATGAGCTTTGGGGTATTATTTTTAATCCCAATAATGATCCAAATGAAAACAATGACAATTATCATAAACGCATTAAATTTCTTTACGAAACAGTTATTCTGCCATGCATTGCGGAGGAAAGTAAAGGTACTCCATGCAAATATAGCGCTCCGTTAAATAGTCGTTTTACACGCAGCATTAAATTGAATGCCAGACATGAATACCTGGAACAAGTGCCGCCATTTTCTAAAACTCCGCAAGCTAGAATCTCAAACCAAAAAGATTCAAATTTGATTTCTCTGGAGCCATCGATGCACAGAAATGCTTTCTCCAATTCGGCAAACTTTTTGCTTCAGAATTTTAATGCTAATAGTGTATTACTATTGCTGGATCTAGTAGTAAGGAAATTAAAAAATGAAAAGTATCCTATTTCTTACAAGGAGGACGACTCTAAGTTGAAATCTCGTGGGCTAGCATTAAATATCACTGAAAAATTTGAGAAGTTTGTAAACGCATTGGGGAGAATTCCCACTAAAGAACGAATGAATTTGGCAGAAGTAAGCTCGAAAATATATAAAGCTCTAGTTGGCGAAAACGAAAGTAAAGTTGTCGAAATTTTATGCTCTTACGTAAAGGGATATCTTAAGTCTGAGGAAATCACCAACATGATGTCAGCATTACCACTTGGCTCTTCAAGCCTTCAAAAGGAAACAATTGAGGACGCCCTTTATTCTTTAACAGCTTCTTGCATCTCAGATCAGATTTAAATTTTCTTGCGATTATCAAGATATTCAGCTTTTTTTTCCTCTGATTATTCTTTTGTTGCACCTGTAACAAATATTTTTATATAATAATTTCTTAGGTGGAGGTATATTATGCACAGTTGGAAAACTTACCTCCTTTAATAGAACCCAATTAACTATTTAACGTATTTTTTCTACAGCCACATAAAGAATTAAGAAAGACTTTTACAAGATTTAAACTGATAAAAATTAAAAAAATGGTATTTTTCAACATTTTTTTAAGCTTTTATTTTAATAAAAATTCTTTTCTTCGTTCTCTCTATCTCAATCTTCCTAACTATTCTTCACTAAAAAACTCTTTACAATTATTGGTCAGAAACTATTTTTTTTAAGTTTGTAAAATGATTTTTCTAATAGTTAATAATTACCTTTCAATTAGTTTCATAAAGTATAAAAAATTCAGGTTTTAGTAAATAAAATCAAAATTAACTTTTATTCTGCCTAAATGCATTAAGTCAAAATTACATTTTGAGTAGTTATCTGATAATCTCTCTATCATTTATTATGTAAGATCTTCTTTTATTTTTTTGATAAGCAGCACTATGTTTTTCCCGCCGACTAGTGGTTATTTTTACAAGAGTAAAAAACATAAACATTGCTTTTTAATTAATTTAAATAATAGGTAGTTAATCTTTTTAAATATGAACAGTGATCCAATAATATAAAAGAGTTATTTTTAATTTACTGAAATTCCGTTTTTCTGAATTTTGGTTGCATAATTTAAATGTTAAGCACTAGATTAAGTTTTATAATTGTTCTGAAATTCAACGTAAAAGAGCGTTTATATTTTTAAAAAGTTACTTTAATTAAAAACATGGAAGCTAATATGTAGGTTAGCGTAGAATTTGACGCAATGTGATAGGAGACACAAATTTGGTGTAAAATTAAGCATTTTTGATATTTTATTATAAACACGTAGTTTTTATTACATAAATTTTTCACGGAAGAGACATTAATAAAATTAGTAATTAATTAAAATAGTGATTTAATAACTTATTGATATTAGATCGGTAATTACTGATTTGGTAAAATTGGTAATTTAATGAAGATGTTAATTAATCTACTTTCTATTTTTTATATTTATAACTAAATTAAAAGGTACTTGAATCCATTAAAAAGATTCGTCGTGAATAAATCTACTCTTTTTTCTTCAATGAAAAAAAATCGCAAATACATTTAAGCTATGATAATAGATTTTGAAACTTTTTCTTTCTTGCATTATATTGCATTACTTTTAGTTTTATAAAAAGCAATAATTTTGTAAGAAAATGGCAAATAAAAATACGGAACATACTTTTTTACTTTTATTGATATTTTAAATTATTATAATAGTTAGTGTTATCATGTTCATTGCATACTCGATATATCAGTAAAGTAAATATAAACAATTTATATGTATTTAGGTAAATAAGCAATATTTCAATGCTGAATTTTGATGAAAATATTTCTCCTTATATTTTGTTTTAATTTCTAACAATAATTAAATGTGAAAAATTTTTCACAAAAAAATCATATTATAGTAATTAATTTGTCACTACGTGGTTCATATAATACGTTTTCTGTTTTAGTTTTGTTAAAAACTATCATGTTGTTAACTGCTTTACTAATTGAAAAAGCAATATTAAAAGGAACTCATTCAAAACTTAAAAAAAAACATTTAAATTATGATTGAGCTGTGATATTATGAAATTCAGCAGACGTATTTAACATAAAACAAGGCAATTATTTATGAATAAAAATGCTTTACTGATACTTAAGTATTTAATACTGAAAGCGTTGTAGGCTGCAAAATTATCTGGTTCAAATTACGGTAAAATTTATCAGCTTTCAGAATGCCGGTATTTTTCACCGAAAAATTCTTCTTTGCCAAAATTGTGATGGAACGAAAAATCTGATAAAAAGATTTTTACATTAATAATTACCATAAAATTTCTGAATCATTGTAATTAAATAAATATTTCTGTAAAAATTGCGATATAATATTTTACGGTAAAATGGATTTTACAGATGATACATCCGAAATGCCGGTACTTTATACTGTAATTTGATCCGGAAGTTTTTACAGTGTAATCAGTTATTGCTAATGGTGAAAATGAAAATGAAATTTATGGCAGTATAACTTAAACTTAACAGAATATTCAGTATATATTAACTTAGCTGTAATCAGTTTCAGTAGAAATGCCTTTAAAAACAGAGATAACTACAAAAGTTAACTTTGAGTTGAATTAAACCCAATTAGAAATTAAACACCAGATGATGCATATTTTACTCATAGATTGTCTCTTGCTTATAAAACTTTTTCCTTTTCACTTGAAAGCATGTTCAAAAGAAATATTATTATTGTGGACAGAAAACTGAAATTTATGACCCCACCAGTTCAATCCCAACTGTGATGAAATATTCAGATTGATATCTGTTCACATATTTATGTTGCTGTAATCAATTGATATGACGTAAGAAACAGAAGTTGACTGCAAAAGTTGCTTTAATAACATATCTGGCAATGTTTACTTCAGTGACGTCGTTTACTCATGGACTTCGACCCGCATGTTACACTCCCTTCATCCCATTCTTTGAAGACATGTTCAAACAAGAATATCATTGTAGTGGAGATGGATATAGTAGATGTTAAATTCCCACTAAAACTGAAAACTCATAGAAACATCTGTGAGCATATTAATATTGCTGTAATCAATTGGTACTGAAATCAAAGCTTATTTCCATCAAAATTAAAATAAATTTATACTATACTCTAACTGTACTACTTTATGGCGACAAAAGCTGACCTTTAAATAACACTGATGAAAATAAACTACTAATCTTTTAAAAAAAATACTTAGAGGCAACTTCGGAGCTCTTAAGGAAAATGATATTTGTTGGATTTAGTGCAATTATGAATTAAACAGAAACTCTTAGAAACCAAACATAATTTCAGTTATTAAATTCCATTGAATAAGATGACTGGATTACATTTATAGAAAGAATGATAATGACATAATTACGAAGCTGAAGTTTATAAAAGTTAACTGACATACGAAAAAGGAGCAGACCAAACACCAGATGAATTGGTCCTGTGGTAAAGATCTAAAAACCATGACCATCAATAGATGACCCAGATGGAAACGACTTGCTGAAACTACTCTGGTTCTGTACTAGGTTGTCATGCTAGTGGAATAAGAAGTAATCAATTGGTGTAAAAAATTATGTTGTTGTTGTGGCTTATTATCCATATCTCTGACGAAGTCAGATAACGTCCATCCAACAAGGTTCACCAGGAAATCGAGGACAAGTCCAAAACATCCTCTCTGGAAAGTCCAAAACAGTCCAGGATGTGTTTGGGAGAAGTCTGTTCAGTTTGATATTTGGAGTAACAAATTTTGCATTGGTTAACAACAACCATTGCTTTCATGTCTTATGTGATAGACAGAGTTAACTCAAGAAAGAGGTTTTCACTTATTATTCTCCTTCATGATATTCTTTTTATGTTTTCACTTGAAATAATCTTCAAACAAGTATATCATATGAGAAAAAATTTGACTACTTTAGAAAATTTCCAGTAATGATATATCAAATGATAATGAAAATTTTTACGAAGAAACACTTTTTGAGACTTAATTGACAACAAAGCACAAATTCTCTTCACCTATGCATATATCTACTCATGATAATTTCAGATCCTAAATATGAAAATTCTTTTGTGACAATGATGAAGTTTTTGTTTCATTTTTGAAACTTATGTAATGATAATGGCTTTGTAATGATAATGGTTTTGTAATGATAATGGTTATGTAATGGTAATGTTATGCATCAAAGTTGAAGCTGGGTAAGTTATTCCAGTTATTTTAGCCGTCTTGCTGAACCTCCCAAAGGTTATTAAAAGTAGAATTTGTGTAGTTCCTTGCGTACTCCTGTAGTTGTGTTTCTCTGATATTGACATAGTACGCTATCAGTCAATGCATTACCATCTTGAAGTTTAATGGCAAAATTTCTTGTAATCTTTTTCCATTCTTGTTAACAGAAAAAGGAATATAAAAAGTTCTTTATTCAAAATTTTGTTTTCAATAAGTGTAAGAAAATAATCCAAAAATCATTCGTGAAAACTTTTGAAATAAGGAATAAGTGACCAATAAATGGATAAATAATTTTACTCAATTTATCATGTTTTTGAGCGAAAAATTAAATGAATTGGAACTTTTTCAATTAACACTTCCAGGGTGAAAATCTTGTAATATTGAAAAACTCGTATCATTTAAGTGAATTAAAAAAAGACATTCAGCAATTGCTGACCTTTTAATTTTAATTGTAATCTGTAACTGTGCTCTTTACTAGTTTTGTCTTGCAATTTTAATTTTAAATTTCATTTCTAAAACGCTGGCAAGTAATATATTTTCATTTTCAATATGCTCCTGTCATATATAAATTATTCCATAATTCATAATTACAAGTTTGCATATAAGTAAAATTAACAATACTAAAAAAATGTATTTTCAGTGACTGTATACAAATTTATATTGCTATATATTTATGTAATTTAATTTAAATATTCATTTCATATCATTTCTGATTAATATTTTATTAATGAAACGTATGAATGAAGTCTTAGAATTTACATGAATTATATTTTCCGCTTTTACTTCTTTGGATTACACACAAGTATTTTTGTTTAAAGCAATTTTAAAATAAATCAGTAAGAAATATTTATACTATTAAGCTTTACTACTGTGATTTAGTGAATTGTATGCATGAATTCGCAATTTATGCTATGTTGCAGTGAATGTGATTTTAAAAAACTGCAATTTTTAATAGTTTTGACAGTCATTCTCCATTTTGCTTTAAAATTTCAAATTTGTTATTATGCTAAATAAGTTTTGTTAACACTCCATAACTTTGGTAGTAAATATGTTTTGAAGAAATCTCTACCTGCACTATCTGTGATACATATTTTGCATGCTTCTTACTTCATGTAAAAATAATACACTGAAAATAAAATGGTAAATTTAGATGCGTTATTTGTTGTCATTTTTCATGCGCCCGTATTAAAAATTTATTCTTTAAAAAATAGTTTAGACATAACTTTTTAAAATATAAAATGTTTCTGTATGAGCAAAACAAAAAAAAGAAGTAAAAAAATGTTCAACAAATTTCTAAATTTAGACAAAAATATTCAATGTTAATCAAGCAATAATCATACATGCACTTTCTTGATACAGATTCTGCATTTTTTGTCACTTATAAAAATGATACATTTATAATATTGCTTTGTATTCAGATGTCATTTATTATTGTCTTCTGCTCATGTCTCATTAAAAAAAGAATTCATTCCTTTTTTTCAAAAAAAAAAAAAAAAAAAAAAAAAAAANAAAAAAAAAAAAAAAAAAAAATACCAGTTAATTCGAAAGAAAAGAAATGTATTTGCGTTATCAATATATAAAAATTAAAAGAAGAGTAAAAAGAAATCGTTCCACGATTTTTTTGTTTCAGACAATAATGTGCAATGCTAATCAAGCAATTTTTACATACACTATCTTTGATGCATATTCTGCATGTTTTTTTATCTCTTATAAAAATGATACACTAATAATAAAATCTTCTATTCAGATGTCAATTATTGTTGGGTTTTTTTCTGTATTCTTATTAAAAAACGAGAGTAAGGATTAGAGTTAACTTTTGGATGAAAAGAAATGTTCTTGTTTTATCAAAACATAAAAACAGAAATGAAAAAAACGTTCTTTAACGATTTTGTTATAAAAGGCTGCTAGCTATAAAAGGAATCCGAGTAAAGAAGTTAACTTGTTGCTGATATATTTTTCACTCCATTTACGTCATTACTGATCAATCAGAATTGCAGGTTATTAAATACTAAAAGTTATTTAACGTTTTTTGTATTGAAATTGCTTGTGAAAAAATACCATTGTATTAAATGCTATGTAAATTGACGCAATGAAATTTATATATATATTTCTCTTACACGGCGACAAAAAAAAGCCTCATTACAACTCCGCGAATGGCAACTCTGGAAAATCGACCAATGATTGCCGCTAAAAATGTCACATGCCAAATCTAGTTGAGGTGGCTCAACATATAGCACTTTTAAAAACGGAAACTGAAATAACCAGAGAGAGCATCAGCTGCGGCAATCTCATACTATTAAGCTAGGCAGAAGTGAGTAGTTTTTGTCGATAGATCTCTATTTTAGTATTTTGTCGAAAGCGCTTTTTTTCACGAATTCATTTGATGATTTTTGATTTATATCACGAATTTATTTCTTTTATTATTGTTATTAGTTATCCATTGAAAAATGAGTTTCAGTCGTGCTGTTACCCTTTAAGAGTTTATACTGTAGTGCATTTCTAATAGGTTTAACGAATTACATGTCATTTATTTGAATTCAAATTTATTTTAATGAGTTAGTATTTACTAAAAAGGTGTAATTTTTTTTCAAAAAAAAGGTTGTTACATGGATTTGAATTATTGTTTTGAGTTCTTAGAATTTTGTGCATTTGCAATGGACCTAAGTTAGTAACGAGCGAAGCGAGCTTGGTTTGCGAAGCGAACCATATAAGATTGCGTAGCAATTTTTGGGGGTTGGCGAGCGTTAGCGAGCAGGGTGCGCAGTCCACTAGTCTTTATAAAAGTCTGATATAAAGAAGGAAAATATCTTTAACACATGAACAATATTTCAAGTTAAGAATACCACGTTTAATAAGGAATATTTAAATTTTAAGCGAAATAATTAATCTATGTAGAAAATAACAGTCTATGTAGAAAATAATAACAAACAATATCTCAGGATAAAAGTACTTGAATTAAAATTTATTAAATAATAGTATCGTTTATTAAAGAATAGCATCCCATCATTAAATAAATATAAACACAGTGTACATTGTTCTATTTCTTGCTAACAACGTTTTACTTAAATAACCTTTAAATCATGTTTACTTTTTGACAATATTTAACCCACCAGCGGCTCTGCACTCAAGAAGTCGTATTTTAACCTGCAGTCTTCTCCGCTTAGCAAAATCAGCTTTTCCGTAATAATAGAGACGGAAATAATGTATAGGGGAGAAAATTTTTCCCAAATTTGACCATTTGCTAAAGCTCCAGTAGGTAAAAAGGAAATAGTAAAAATATTTTTTTACCGCAAATTTGCTTCTTTAGTAATTTACTAATTTTTTTTATCGAAATCTACTATACATTATAAAATGGGATGGACCATTTGTTTTCCTATGGGAAACGCTGGCAAGTTATGCTGAACATTAATATTTTTTTTTTCAATTTATGATTTTAATGAAAGTGTGCTGCAAGTTGTTTTTGGTGTTAAAGAGTGGGTCACATCAAAACAATTTTAATGAAACTCAACGGCAAAAAAATTCAGCAACTCTAAAATCATGTAAAATCATAGAAAAATTAAATATTTTTTTTCGAAAAAATTGGATTTTTTAATATTTTTTTTAATTACGTGTCGGTAGTAGAAATGAAAACGCAAAATTTCAGATTTAGATCTTGATATCACTTTTGCTGATTTCTTTTGTATCAATAATGAAATCTGAATAATTTACCCACTCATGTGAAGCAAAAAGTATTTTTACCAAAGTTTTATTGATTACAATGATGTAATGATTCAAATTTTAAAATTTCAGGAGAAATTTTATGATCTATATTGCACTTTCTTAACATATCTAAGAATTCGAAATTAAATTAGTTTTGCTTAATTCTGATAAAATTACAAACTATCAAAAGTTTTTGATAGTAATGAGCCATATTATTTTTCAAATTTGATGCAATCTTGTTAGGGTGCCTCACGGAATCCATGTAACGTGTGATAATATTGTTTAACTTAAATGGAAACATGGTTTTACTAATAAATGAGGTCGTAGCGAATTTTCCCAATATTATGGTTCCAGATGCGAATGTCATGGTCTTAAGTTGAACCAATACTTTGAATGTTTATATATATATATATATATATATATATATATA